GGACGGATGAAATGACTCATATAGTTTAAAGTAATTAGCGCCACAAAAGTAATATCTTATCCTCCTCTGTGCACTTATGATTACATTATTCATACCCTCTAGTCTAGACCTTCCATTGTTACTTCTCCACTATTTTGCTCAGTGACCTGATGTTGGTCACGTGATACGATTTTTTCATCCCCAAATTTTAATTAATTTTGACGCAGTTGCAGAATCATTCAAACATGTGACGCCGCCAGACACAATTTTCAAACTTTTATCCACTCAGTGTAATAGCACTTACTATATTTAAAACACACTCCGGTGGCAACAATTAGAGTAAAAAATCAAAAAATCCTTAATCCTGCTAGAATCGATCAGATAAGAATTTTGACTTTAATAAATGGTTTTTAATCCGACTTTCTATGGGCAAAAAATCAGCACAGAAATACTGCGAAAAGAACTTGGAACTACTTCCCTTTTCAACTAATTTATAGTGCATAGTCGCTGAGCAAATTTAAGTTCTTGAGGTCTTCTATTTCTCGATCATCATCAGCATTAATCAAAGCGCTTTATGGAGCAAATACTAGTACAACATAACGAATAACTGGCCGGTTATCAACGGTCTAAACAGCCGAATGGCAGACTCTAAAATAGGACCTCATCCATAGTGCGTGAAACGAATGGGAAAAACAACACCAAGTCTAAGATGGTCTATTCAACAGCTGATCTGCGTCTTTCATATGCAAAATTTGTAGGGTTCTTGTCCTGAACTGAACAGTGGTATTGCATCTTCTCTGCTCCAGTTCGTACATCATCTGAATAATAAAAAAACGTGATAAAATTACCAGTGTATTTTGCACTGAGTTTAATGACAATAAAGGAAATCCTGTTATTTAATGGCTAGAGACGTCAAAGTAATTAGCAATCTTCTGCTCTGAAACCGATATCATCTGATGGCAACGAGAGACTGACACTCCAAGACATACGTCCCACTGGTCACCACAAACTCAAGAACAAATACGTACAATATTAAATACCTTACAACAGTGAACTATTGCATATATCACTTGGATCGCTAGCAGCTAAACGGCGACGAATCACGCCAGCAACAGCCCGCTACTCCTCGCGGTCTCCAGCATTCTCCCTTTATGCTCGACCTTCGCTCTATCTTGATAAAATCTTTCCACCGTCATCGCAGACCACCAAGCCAGTAGCCATCCTCGAGGGTGCTAATCGACGATCAGCGCGGTGAGCCGAGTTATATGTCCGGCTTACCACAGCCTCTCCTTGCTGTTTTGGACGACAACGACTTCACTTCCTGATTCACTACGCTGTCTGATTCCCATGTTGGGGATCTGCCGGCGACGTGAGACTGCCAACATCCTTCCTTCCATAGCCCTCTCGATTTTGGACAGCTGGAGCTCTTCGGCTTTAGTGCGTGAACACGTCTCAGCCACAGAGTAATGCCAGCGGTAGAATACGGTAGAACTGAAGAGGTGGACGAGGATTTCATACTTATGTTGCCCAGGAGGAAGTCCTTGACGGAGTGAAACATGGCTCAACTGGCCCTCTTTTTCCGCCCAATCTCTTTAGTCTGAACATACTTTATATTGATTTCTTCGCCCAAGTAAATACATTTATCGACATCTTCAATTTTTTCACTTTTCAATATTACCGCGTATTCGATGGG